CATTCAGGCCTCCCAGCTTCTGCCCCTGCCTCCAGCTGGGCCTGTCCTCAGATCTTTCTCTTCTCCACACCAGTTCAGCCTTAATCTTGTCTGTTTGCTCAAAGCCCTGCTGTAGCATCTTGTTGCCTGTAGGTTGAGATTCAGACTGCTTAGAAGCTCTTTCTGGAACAGCCCCCACTTAACTGTCCACGCCTGGCCCTAACTGCCTCCTGCTCTCTCTCCCTGCACTACCTTTTCTCCTCAACTCTAACATTCCTTTCCTGATTATGGATTCTGCTTAGACCTCATGTCTTATAGGGAACTGTCCCCGACACCACACAAGAACATGGGCTGGGTGCTCCTATCCTGTGAGGCCTTGTGGCCCCCCACTGTAGTGTTTACTCCATGCTTGCCTCTTGTTGGTCCACCCCTGAAGACTCCACGAAGTCCTTCAGGTTGGGGCCAGTGTCTTTCATCTTGGTGTCCCTAGCATCTGACAGGGTCCCTGACACATAGTTTGTTGAATATGACAGAAGGAGCAAGTTGACAGCCACCTAACTATAGATCTAATGGACTTTGTGATGAAAAAACCCACTCAGAAGGGTCTCATGGGTGCGAATTGATGTGGGAGCGAAATTTGGTTTTCTCCAACGTATGCGTTATTCTGCCTGCCTGTCTGAAAAGGCTGGAGGAACACAAACAGCCTGCCTTTATGTTTGGAGAGGTGGTGTAAGGGGGGGGGGGGGGTTGGGGAACAGACCCAGGAAGTATAAGAAACCCAAGCTGTGGTCTGGCTGTACCTTCACGTCACTGTGTTAGCAGAGATAGGGCACTGAGTCTCTTAGGTCCCACCTTTGTTAAAGGGGGTCAGGGTGTGGGCTTGTTACAGGATGTGGGGTTTGTTATAACCATCAGTGAGATGACAAGGGAACACACTTTGAGGAGAATAAAGTGCTGAATACACGTGCATCATAATGGAACCAGGCTTCCTCTCCAGCCAGGGACCCGATTGTGCCTTTCAAGGTACAGGCAGTTTCCAGGCTGGATTTCTTCATCTTTGATCCAAATAGAGAGGATGGAAATGACCACTCAGAATACCCCTTGAATCCTGTTGCATCAAAGCTTTCAACAACAGAAATTTCTGGACAACAAAAATGTTTTTGTTTTTTTTTAGTCTTTTTTAAGTCCTAAGCAAACGCTATGTTTACTTCAAGCAATTGCTAAAACAACATAACTGAAGACAGCTGTGACACCAAGATACTTTATTATTACCTTGACATTTGTGATAATGACAGTTTAATGGTGGCAATGATAATTGGGCAGTTGACCAGTGGCAGCTGCAAAAAGGAGTTGCCCATTTGGCCTTTGAACTCACAAACGCTTTCTTTTTCCTCTTCCTGGGATGGTGTCAAGAGGCTTCCAGAAGGGTCCAGTGTTTGACGCACTGTCATAAGCTGTCCTACAATATAGCCTCAGACAAAACGAGGCCGCCCTGAGCCCCTGGTAATGGCATTGTTTACCTTTCCAAGGAGGTTGGGACAGCATCAATCCGCATGTGGTGCGTGCCCAGGCCAAGGAGTTCATGCCGTGAGGCCTAAGGTTCTTATGAAATGAAAAAAACACGTCAGTAGGGCCGTGGTGGTTCCATGTGCGCTAAGTGTGTCCGTGACAGGATCAAGCGTGCTTTCCTTATTGAGGAGCAGAAAATCGTTGTGAAAGTGTTGAAGGCACAATCACAGAGTCCGAAAGCTAAATAAACAAATGAAGGTTTTTTTTTTGACTAATTAAAAAAAAAAAAAAAAAGGAAAAGGAAAAAGAAAGGAGTTGCCCAGAACATAACTTAACGCCCATGATTTCTGCTCCGCCGCCCTATTAAAATTGCATTCTGCATCTCCCCGTCCAATCTCCCTTACTTTGCTTTGTTTTCAACCGTAGCACATTTTCTCTTAATAGCTGATATAACTTACTTCACTTACTGTGTTTTTACTGTCTGTGTGTCTCCTCCCACCCAGCCTGTGTCACGTGTCACATAAACTCTCCAGGAGCAGAAGCGTTTCATTCAGTGATTTACACCCCCCGCCCAACGTAAGGGCAATGCCTGGCACCCAGAAGCAGCTCCCTGAATATTTGTTTGAAGGACTGCATGCACTGTTAGTAAAAGTGTCAAACTTAGACACTTACACAGTGGCATTTGTTTCTTCTCTGAGCCCATCTAAGCTGTGAGCTGTATGTGTTTGGTGGTGCAGGAGGCTGTAATGAAAGTGCAAGATATGGGAATATCATAGCTTCTGGTCCTGTGTCATTCTTGGAAGTAAAAGAAGGTGCGGAACTGGGCCGCTCCTCTTGGCCCCAGGCATCAGTGACTCAGTACTTGTATGACAGGCTGGCTCTGACAGTGGCTGGTCTCATTGGACTCTCTTTGGCAGAGACCCAAGCTGTGCATTTGGTGGGATCTTGATGCTGGACAAAGAACAGGAAGGGCTAGGTCTCGCTCAGTCCCTTGCAGTAGGGGCCCAAAAGACTAGGACGAACACATATCCAGCAATAGGGGATTAGTGAGTACATTTGGCTGCGTCCTCCCATACAATGAGAACTATCTCTGTGTGCCGTTAGAAGAAATCTCAGAGGGATGCCTGGGCGGCTGAGTCGGTTGAGCATCTGACCCTTGATTTCGGCTCAGGTCATGATCACGTGGTTTGTGACTTCCAGCCCCATGTCGAGCTCTGTGCTGACCACGCAGAGCCTGCTTTGGATTCTCTGTCTCCCTCTCTCTCTGCCCCCCACTTACTCTCTTGCAAAAATAAATAAATACTAAAAAAAATAAAGAAATCTCAGGGATATGTCAAGGGGAAAAAAAACAGTATAGAAAATGTAAATAGTTGCTCCCATTTGTGTAAGAAAAGGGAGAATAGGAAAAAGATATATTAAAAAAATACACACACACCTACACAGAAAATTAATTTCACATAACTTTAAAACACAGATATTTGATTATACATCTGTAGTGGAATGTACCTTTTTTTTAATGTTTGTTTTTGAGAGAGAGAGACACACAGCATGAGCAGAGGAGGGGCCGAGAGAGAGGGAGACACAGAATCTAAAGCAGGCTCCAGGCTCTGAGCTGTCAGCACAGAGCCTGAGGTGGGGCTCAAACCCACAAACCATGAGATCATGACCTGAACTGAAGTTGGACACTTATCTGACTGAGCCACCCAGGCGCCCCTCTGGTGGAATGTATCTTAAGTTCAAAATAAATTCCAAGTAAATCTTAAACCATTTTCAGTAATATTGTTAGTAATGATATTGGTACTACTATTATGAAACAATTATATATAAAATATTTTATACATATATAGTAAGTAATTGTGTTAAAACCATCAGAAACCAGTGTTTCCAGTATATAAAAAAAGAACAGTTTCATAATTAAAGATGTTAAGTAAAAATCCTGTAATCCTAAATTTGAATTGGAAATGTCAGTGTGAATTCCTGATATATTTTCTCTTTAACAAATAAAAAAGTATTTCCTAACTTTGTCCACTGAAATGCCTAGAAATAATGGCCAATTTAGTAGCAATAAGCACCCATGGCATCCAGATTGTGGCCTCTAAGTACAACTTCCCACTAAAGAGAACTTTGATCCTCAGAAAAAATAGCTGATTCCAGGTCTGGGACAGTAAATGTACAAGATGTGTTGGAATATCTTGTATCAGCAAGCAAAGAAGCTTCAAAGACCACTTGTGTCCTGCCTGAAGGACTCGAGAGCCAAGTTAAATGGCCTCCCAGTGCCCAAATATGGAACAGTTTGAGCATTAAGGAGTGTAAGTATAGTGGATGGATATACATTACATATATTACAATGTGTCACATTCCTAGTTAAAAATTCAATGGTCCTCACTAGGTTGGGGAACCAACTCATTCTGAAAACTGGTCAAGAAAGGGAAAGAATCAGACCTTTCTTATTGATTACCTTAGGGTATCCAAACTGTTGATGAGGAAAATTTCTTTTTTATAGGAGAATACTATCTAATAAACACAGAAGGAATTATAGAATTGGACCATCATCATTTTGCATCCTCTAGTGAATTATGCGTTTAGACAACATGGTTAGTAAGTTCCTGCTAAAACATCAGGCGAAGCTGGTGGGAAACTTTATATGGGATGGATTGGGTTGATGCATTCAAACCCACTGATCATTTTTAATGTGACAGAAGAGAAAGACTTCAGGTATCATGTACCCACCGAGGTAATGCAGCAGGAAGTAAACAGCACTGTCAAAGGTAAAACCTGAATTCATCTGTGCCAGGCTCAAGGTCTAACTACTAGTTTTCTGTAGTATTCTGTAGGATACAGAATACTAGTTTTCTGTAGAAAATACAGGGGACAGAGGAACATGTCAAAACAGTACTATGGAGATAAAAATCAACCAGTTGTGAGTGTGGGACATCCTTCAGGCCTGAAGACCCCCCCTTTTTTTTTTCCAACAAGTAAATTGCAAGGATATATCAGCAGGAGGGGTTCTCTATAGATTAAAACAGATTAAAAATACTTATCCAGTCTATAATCCAGTCTGTAATTTTTAATCTATAATCTTTATTTGGATCCTAGCTCAAAAAAACAAGAAAATGATTAGATTACTTAGGACACTTGAACATACGAAATATTGAGACTAAAGAATGATTTATTTATTTATTTATTTATTTATTTATTTATGGCTCTGGCAATGATACTGTGATTATGTTAAGAATAAAGTTATTGTAGGGGCGCCTGGGTGGCACAGTCGGTTAAGCGCCCGACTCCAGCCAGGTCACGATCTCGCGGCCCGTGAGTTCGAGCCCCGCGTCAGGCTCTGGGCTGATGGCTCAGAGCCTGGAGCCTGTTTCCGATTCTGTGTCTCCCTCTCTCTCTGCCCCTCCCCCGTTCATGCTCTGTCTCTCTCTGTCCCAAAAATAAATAAACGTTGAAAAAAAAATTAAAAAATAAAAATAAAAAAAATAAAAAAAAAAAGAATAAAGTTATTGTAGTTCAGAGCTATATACTCAAGTATTTATAGATGAAATAATGACTCTGGGATTGGCTTTGAAACGATAGTGTGGAGGGTGAGAATGGGTAGGGTAGAGAGTAAACAAGATTGACCAACAGTTAAAATTGTTGAAGCTGGGTGATAGGTAAAGGAGGTTTCATTATCCTGTTCCTCTACCTTTGTATAGTTAGAACATGTCCATAATAAAAGGGAAAAAAAAAAAGCCCACCAGCTCAGTCAGTTGGCCAGTCCTGATTCCAGCTGTTCCTGAGTTTAACTTTGGACTGTGGAGCATGCTCTTGAAATCACACAGCTAGCGACTGGAAGGGCTAGGATGGTAATTCACATATGTCTGGCCCCAAAGCTCAAGGCCTTAACATCTGACTCTGTAGAATTTCTGTCCCTCTGTGGCTTAGACTATTGTGGGATTGTTGAGATTGAGAGTGTATAGGGTTTTACAAGCAGCCATAATAGAAACATGGGGAAATGGGGGCAACAACAAAATAAGGACCAAGTCAAAACCAAAACATCAGAGTTAGTCTTCCTTGGAAGGAGGGAACGTCCCTGGGTGAAAGAAGAGAGGGTAGAAAGATTGCACACGTCCCACCTAAACCTTGTTGGGCTTTTCCTGTCCATCCCCCCACCCCGGGTTTTGTATTTAGAGAGACCTGGGTTTAAGTAGCTTGGCCTGTCACTAACTGTGAGTTTACTGTTCTGTGCCTCGGTGTCTTTACCTCATCTAGTCTGGGGGAGGATCACATAAGCTCTTAAATGTTAATTTGGAAGCATAGAAATTAGAAAGCAGAAGCATAATTAGTTCGCCAGGATCCTGAGAATCCCGAAGCTGCGTTGGGGATTGTGTATTTGGAATGTCTTATGGTCTGGATACCCCTGTCTTGCTTTTCCAGCCCTAGCACATTCTCCAGCATTTTCTCCAGGACCTAGGGCAGCCTTACTTACATTTGGAATTACCATTTAGTCTCAGTGAGGACGATCAGGGCTCTAAGGGCGGTAATTTTCCCAGCTGGCCATGTTTGAGTTTGTTATGTGGCTTGATAGCCAAAGGTAGCTGGAGAAGATCCTTCGTAGGTGGGTCCATAGAAAAGTCCAGCCAGACAGCTGGAGGCCAACTTCAACTTCGCCATCTTTGAGATTGGAAGGAAAAGGTGACATTGCTTGTCCTTTCTGAAGGAAGCACCACATTTTCTTTCCCTTCTACCCCATTTACCCCTTAACCCTAACCTGCTCCCCTTTCCTCACTAAATCTAAGTCTTGTGACACACAGGGCTCAGTCCTGGCAAATGTGGTTCTTTTCGCAAACCTTTGAAGAGTTCCTGGCAAATGCACTTGGTTGAACTGCTTGGTCACCTGGGAAGTATTTAGGAGTCACACCTTGTGGACTTTGATCCCTGGTGTCCAGCTCACTTGCCCCCACTGCGTGTGACCTGTCCACTTGCTGGGGGCTTGGGTGTGAGTGAGCTGCTGGCCCAGGGAAGCTCAGCCAGAGGGAGCCCTGATTTACGAACTGTCTGGATTTAACTGAGGCTACAGCACTTTTATTAATAGAACATGCTGCATTTCCTTTTTATAAAAATATGAAGATCATTGCACTCAGGAAAATGCCTGGTGACTTTCTGTCTTTAGGGCATGTTCATCACCGGGCTAAAATTAAAAGTGAAGTCAGGCCCTTCTTGAGTCTATTTTTAACTGAGTTTAGCATATGAATGTGAACGTGAAGTCTTTCTTTAGATCTCCCTTAACTCAATTACTTACTTATGCTAAGCATCCCGCCTGGAATTTGGGTCTACCTACAGTGGGAGGCCCAGAGGGGGATAACTCTGCTATCTTAGTTTGTGTGTCTTCACCCATCCCAGCTTCACTTATATCTGGACAGTTAAGGAGGCGTTAGTCATTATACTGAAATAATCATCATCATCATAACACGAGAAAAAAAGAAAACCAACCAACCCACCAACCTAATGGCCGTTCTGTGATGTGTAGATATCAAGTAACCCCTAATTGGTACGTATTTTTCCAGGGGCTCCAATTTAGGAGCAGCCACTTGGGTGGAAGAGGAGACACAGGATTGCAGAGAAGACTGTGTCATTCAGGCAGAAAGTGCGAATGGCCCCGGCTTACCAGGGAGACTTGGGACAACAGGTGGAGGGAGGGAGAGGGGAAAAAACTTAGCAAGTGTCATTCCTGTCCAGAGAGTTCCCGATGAGTGATGGGAGTGCTAGGGAAAACTTTCAGAAACCCTCTTAAATTCCCGCTTTGAAATCGTTTTAATGTCTGCTCTTTGAGGACTGTGAAGGGAGGGGGGCAGAGGGGCAGAGTTGATCCTAACTCTTAAGATTCTTTGGCCTAAAGTTTCACTTGAAGGCAGGGACTGACAAAGGCTCTTTTTTGAACTTCTGCCTAGGGCCTTTCCCTGTGGACGCTTTTTGAGTAAAACATTTTTTTAAAAAAGCCTATTTATCATGATCACTCTTGGCCCTTGTTTTGTTTTGTTTGTTTGTTTGTTTTTAGGACGGTCATTTTGGGTGAAAAAATATTGACAGTTTGTTTCTGCTGATGTCATTTTTCTTTGCACTTTTACATGAATGTATATTCAGCTCGTGGTGTCCTGAACCCTTTTAAGGTGTCATTTTTAAGCAGAGGAAGAACTTCCTTCTGTTTTTTTGGTATGACAGCAAAGCCATTGTTGAGGATAAGCAGAAGATTAATTTAAAATGCCAATTACTTTTGCTAATCCGCTGATGGTGAGGTTGTTTATGGCTGGAGAACTATGAAAATGTTTCCAGATAAAGTGTGAGAGGGGAAAACAGGAAAGGGGTGTGTGTGTGAAGGGGCAGAGGGGTAGTTAGGGGGGCTGGGAATGGTAATTAAGCAATAGGCACCTTCCATATATCGCATTTTCCGTTAAGAGCAGTCGAAATGAAGTATGATGTGTTTATAGGCCACCACCATCTGTCTGAAAAGTCTCCTATGGGTTTTTGCCTGCAGTTCAACAAACCATTTACTTGCTATAATGATCTTTTCAATAAAACTTTGGGTTAAATGACAATACTTTTGGGCTTAGGCGGTTTTCAATTCTGAAGACTTTGTACTTTCACTTAGTTACAGTAAATTTTAAGGGATTGGCTCTCCTAGCCAGACTGATAGTTTTGGGTTATGTCCAGTTAGTAAAACATGGTACGGGTAGGGGTGGGGAAAGCTATGCGTTGCCACCGTCCTTAAGCGTAGTGACTGAAGGACGTTCTCCTGGCTACTGGAGGAGGCACCTGTGTGGGACCTGGAGAATGGACAGGCCCCTGATAGAGTTGTTGAATTCAAAATAATAGGCCGTCCCTCTGAAACCATTCAATTTCACCCTTATTAGTTATTCAGGTACTTTTGTCTTGGTTTTTATCTCCATTCAACTCTATTCCTTAGTGAATCTAACGATTCATCTCTTTGAAACCTTTTAGTTTCACCTTGGTTGGTTGTTTCCGTTAAAGAGAACATTTTTGTCTTGTTTTTTCCTTGCTTCAACTTGACCCCTTAGGGGGTCCAAAGGTGTTTCACGCCTTGGAGTTTCAGGGTGGATCCAAGAAATGGTCAGGATCACGCTTGTCTCTTTCTCAGGCACTGCTGGGTGGTACCTGGCACAGGTAGATGAGGGAGTGAAGAATGTGTGGCACACTCTTAAATTGTCCTCTGAGAGGAGATCTGAACCTCAATTTCTCACGACCAGACTCTGTTTCTTTAGATCGGTGCTTGTGTGTGAAAAGCCTCTGGCTTTGCTTCTTTCACTGTTACCGTGATTTGTGGGATTGAGGTTAGGCCTGGAATCCTCACAGAGTTCCTCTCAGCTGGAGTTCGCTAACACAGCGGCTGAGAGCGGTGCTAATTCCAGCTGCCAGCAGGAGCCCGCTCCTTCCCTGGCAGGTGGGAGCCCCCTCCGTGAATATTTAGATAGAATCGAACCATCCCTGTTGCACATTTTCTTCTGAATGCTCATGGTTTGTGGAAATGTAGCTTACTCTCATAAATACTTTGACATGCTTCCCTTTCTCCAAGTCTGATTTATAACAGCACTACCGTAACAAGCTGACGGGCAACTTTATTTTATTTTTTATTTTAAATTGAAGTGTAGTTGACTAAAGGGAAATTTTGAAAGAAAGAATAATCATCAGTAATCTCTTCGTTAGACTCCATAATCTGCCTAGTTTGTCTTCGTTCTTTTTTTTTGTTGGGTCATGTGCACATAATTTGAAACATGCAACTTTATATTCTTTTTTTTTTAACATTACGTTGCAAATATATATATATATATATATATATATATATTTGCAGCTGCATCATTTCATAATTTAATTGTCCATGACTGCTTGATATTCCATTGAGCTGATCTACCAGAATATATCTAATTATTCACCAACTGATGGACAATCATGATTTCCAATACTACAGTAATGGATATATCTGCATGCACGCAGCTTTGGAATATTTCCCAGGAATGGGATTAGTAGGTCAAAGGGCATGAATATTTTTATTACTCTTGATATATTTACCATATTGCTTTACAATAAAGTTGTACCCATTTACAAAGTTAGCAGTAAATTATGAGGGTATGAGTTTCACTGTGAAACTTAACAATAGTTTCACGAGAGGATATGAGAACCCCTTTGCCACGGTTTGAATCCCAGCTTTGTCACTCGCCGCTTACCAGCTGTGTAAACCTTGGGCAAGTTCTAAAGAACTTCCTGTGCCTCAGTTACCTTCTCTGTGAAATGGGGATAACCATAGTACCTACTTCATAGAAATGATTTAGTTAATATTTGTATAGTGCCTACAACAGTGTGTGTGTAGTATCATGGTGTGTGTTTTTAATTTTTATTGATTTTTTATTGTGAGAGAGAGAGAAAGAGAGTTTTAGCAGAGCACAGGGGAGGGGCAGAGGGAGAAAAAGAGAATCTTAAGCAGGTGCCACTCTCATCAGGGAGCTGACCTGGGGCTCCATCTCACAACCCTGGGATCATGACCTGAGCTGAAACTAAGAGTCCAACATTCAACCAGCTGAGCCACCCAGGCACTCCTGCTGTGTGTGTGTTTAACAAACACATCTCTCTAGGATTTGAAACAATTAATTTAGGGGAGCATGGGTGGCTCAGTCCGTGAAGCATTGGACCCCTGATTTTGGCTCAGGTCAGGATCTCAGGGTTGGGTGGGTTCTAGCCCCGTGTGGGGATCTGCGCTGACAGTGCTAAGCCTGCTTGGAATTCTCTCTCTCCGCTCTCTCTGACCCTTCCCACGGGCATGCGCTCTCTCTCTCTCTCTCTCTCTCTCTCTCTCTCAAATAAATATTAAAAAAATAAAATTTAATAGCAGTAGTGACTTCATTTGTTAAAAATATTTAAACACGTTTATTAACAGTACTTCTAAGTAACACTCCTTTTTAAGTCTGTGTTCTGGAAAAGGTAAGTCTTACGATGTTAATTTACAGCACAGATCCAATCTGGTGGGTTTATTCATATTACAGACGAAGTTCTTCCTTAAGTTTTTAAAACAGAGAGCCCTGTATCCCTTTAGGGTGGGGTCTGAAGGTCGGGAAGGGTTAGCTGGCCCCGAGGCGCTGAGGCTGGCAGCCCCAGGAATTCCATAGCCTTAAAATCAGGTCACCCCGCCTCAAGTTCTGGGGGGCAAACGTGGGTATTTGAGGGCCTGAGTAAGAGGTTATTCTTCCTCCAGCGTTAGAGGACTGATATTGTAGAATCCCGATTTTAAGGCGGACATGGTTTCTCCCTGGGGGACTTTGGGGACCCCTCCTCCCTGAGCCCCATAGCGATGCCCGGGACCCTGCGGTAGGGGCAGCACTGAGGCTGAATTCATCCCGACACCCCGCGGCCAGGGGCGGAGGGCGGCAGAGGTAGCAGAACTTGGACCGTTATGGATCGATCAGCGTTCCTCTCCTTAATCCTGGTTGTTTCTGCTGAACCCTCCGAATAATTTAATCCTTGTGTGTGTTTACAAACAAGAAGCCTGAGAGGGGCGCCTGGCTGGCTCAGTCCGTAGAGCAAGCGGCTCTTGATCTCAGGATCCTGAGTTCAAACCTCACCTCGGGTGTGGCGCCTACTTTGAAAACCACCACCACCAAGAAAACCAAACTAGAAGCCTGAAAAATCTCAGCGAGCCGGTCCAAGGGGAGGCTCCCAGTGCTTCGCGTGTCACCTGCGCCCGGACCCTGCGTCCCCTCCACGGAGACCACCGCGGCCGGCTGCCTGCCGCCTTCTCTCAGACCCGCCGAGCTTTGGGGGTCGTGGGCAGAAAGCGCCCCCGGCCAGGGCGCGGCGCGCGTGCGATCTTCCTGCGAACGCGCCCGGGGAGGTGTGCGCGCCGCCAGCTCGCTCGCGCCGAGTCCTCGGAGCCGCGCCATCCGCAGCTTCTGTCCCCTGCGTGGAGACTGCTCCCGATCTGG